AACCTAATTAAACTATGGTAGAGGTGATTGCAAGTACCTTTTTTTACAAGTACAGAGGTGAAGTCATTAACATTTTTAGCAGAGTATAGAGAGAAACCTTAGGAAAATGCTATCCTGAATTGTGGCCAAAGACTTGTTATATTGAGGAATTTGCACTGATGTTTCCTGTTGATGTTTTTCTGAATGGCAAATTCATGTCAGTTAGTTACAGTGTGTTCTGCTTTTCAAGTAAAGGAAATCCATGTAACAGCAAAGTAGAGAAATATTTTTGATTGATAGATGGAAACAAATAAGGATGATATAGTAGGGATTTTTAAAAACTGGAGCTTTCCTAGTACTTGGAAGTATAAGGAATGTGTCATTGGTCAATGCTAAAATAATGAAATGAAGTAAAAATAATATTTAATGTCATTATGTAATTAGGAGGACTAAGGATAGAAAGGAATATGTAGAACCATCTGCATAATTTATATCTTTATTTTACTCAAAATAAATTCTGAATTATTTGATACTCACTATAAGTTATTCAAAAGTTGAGACTCAGAAAGTCACATGTTATTTGTAATCATTTGTTCAAGAAAACCTGCCATATTTTCCCATACTCAATATAAAATTGTCCTAAATTCCAAAATATTCTTGGTTTTATTGTATCAAGAGCTCATATATCTCACAGAGTTAGAAATTTAACTGTTTTATGAAGTTGTTCAGATTTTAGTTGTCATTGCATGTAAATGACATGAATTTGAATAGATGCAAGGCAAGAACAACTGGGTATTAAAATCACTGAGTAATTTCCTAAAATTCTTTTCATTCTTTAAATTCACATTTTGTTTGGATTTTTAACATAAACACATGTATATTATACAATGAAAGTTCATCTGTAAGAAAAGTGGCAGCAGACACCTTGCATCATTAAGTTTTCCTAAAGGGAAATATTTGGTAAGCTGCCAACATTTGGAGAGCTTTAAAGTTCTAATTCATGATTCAGTATATTCTGAAAATTAATGAATGATTGTAATATTTTACCATATTGTATTGTGCAGTGTATTCTTTTACATTTTATTAAAGGTTTTAAGTTGTTCTGAAGAATTTTAATGACTTATAATGAAAAACCCAGTTCAAAATAGATTTAAATGTTCTATTTCTCTATAACCTACTGCTATGGGTATATACTGCTAAGGGAATATAATAGCTTATTTTTGGAAAATAGCATGTTCAGAAATAAAATAACAGTTATTTTGTAGCACTTAGAGATTTCCAAAAAACCACTTCCACATATAATTTGTGCTTCTTACAGTGTCTCTAGGGTATAGATATTAGTGGCCCCAGTCTACAGCCTAAGAAACTAAGGCCTAGATGGGTTAAATGAGTTATGCAGAACCATGTAGCCATTCAGTAGAGAAAATGCATGAGAAGATGCCTTCTTTTTTTAAATTTATTTATTTTTTAATTGAAGGATAATTGATTTACAGAATTTTGTTCTTTTCTGTCAAACATCAACAAGGAACATGCCTTCTGATTCTGATCCCTAAACTCCTTGAAGATGGACAGTAACTGAGTTTTCATTCCATGTCAAGAATGCTTTTAGTTTCCAGTATTTGGGGTATTTTTTTAAGTAACCCTAATCTCCTCAGCTCAATTAATTGAATTGGGTTCTAGGGGGAAGTTCAAGCACCTATACCCATACACGGTGTAAAGGTATATGGACAGCTAATTTTTTCTTCCAGTTTTATTGAGATATTGATATATAACATTATAGAAGTTTAAGGTGTACAGCATAATTATTTGACTACATACATCGTGAAATGATCATCACAGTGAATTTAGTGAACACCCATAATCTCACAAAGATACAAAATTATGAAATATAAAAAACATATTTTTTGATAGCTAATTTATAACAGTTGTATTATCACAAATGGTCTACTAAACCACCAAATGTGTTTGGTAACAGCCAAATAACTAACAAAAAGATCCTTTAAAATATACCTCAGTTTTTAAAAAATACCTACTTAAGTTTGTAAAATGAGTTTAACAATATGGTATTCAGTTTCATAATGATGTTTCTTTACATAAATTTTCCATCTCAACTAAATTAGGAGAAGGCAATGGCACCCCACTCCAGTACTCTTGCCTGGAAAATCCCATGGACAGAGGAGCCTGGTGGGCTGCAGTCCATGGGGTCGCTAAGTGTCGGACATGACTGAGGGACTTCACTTTCACTTTTCACTTTCATGCATTGAAGAAGGAAATGGCAGCCCACTCCAGTGTTCTTGCCTGGAGAATCCCAGGGACGGGGGAGCCTGGTGGGCTTACGTCTATGGGGTCACACAGAGTCAGACACGACTGAAGCGACTTAGCAGCAGCAGCTAAATTAAAATATGCATCAAATATGTTAATAAATAAATCTTGGGAGAGTAGCAAAGCATAATTATGTGTAACACAGAGTCTTAAATATTAACAAGCAGTTCTGAGGTAAACAAAATCAAAATGGAAGTAATTAAATTGACGTTTAGTCAGAAATGACCAAGATTTTATGTTAAGCAAATCACTCTTTTCATTACACAAATATATTCTTCCAAACTGTAACATGTAACATGTAAAATGTAACATTCTTCTAAACATGTAACATTTTCATGTGTATAGATTTTTCATGGTTGTCTCTTTCTTGGTCAATGACCTAATATTATTTGCATCAGTGTAGAAAAGTCATATTGATTCCAAATGAATATAGACCACAAAGAGTCGGACCCAAATAAGTGACTGAGCTGAACTGAACTGCAGTTGCTCAGGATCCCAGAATGAGAAGATAATTGTAAAAACCACTATTTAGAGCTTGGTGGCTTTATTATTAGGAAGGTAATCTTTGTTATTCTAGTTGGCATTCCATTATCCTTATAGAGTACATAGTAGTAGAGGATCTTTGAGTTTGTCATTGCTTGACAGTTTCATTTTACTGTTAAATAAACTAAATCCTAGTTTTGATCGATGTGTGTGAATTAAGGATTGCATATCATGAGCTCAGTGTAGCATCCATGAATAATGTGTACTCATTGTGAAGAAGAACTTCAAGCAGGTGAAGCCTGCCACACAGTATAGCATTATCTAACCTGGGGGCTTCCCTGGTGGCTCAGATGCTAAAAAATATACCTGCAATATGGGAGACCTGGGTTTGATCCCTGGATTAGGAAGATCCCCTGGAGAAGGGAATGGCTACCCACTCCAGTATTCTTGCCTGGAGAATTCCATGGACAGAGGAACCTGTGGGCTATAAAGAATCAGATAAGACTGATCAACTAACGCTTTCACTTTCAAGCTGATGAGAGGCATAGTGTGTATGCCTCATGTCAGTGCTGTGAAATGACTCCCCCGAGATCATGTGCTCCAACTCTCATGAATGTCTGGAAACTTATGGAAGCTTTTTTACTCTTTGATTATAGTAGTCTGATTTCCCTCCCTGTTGGTTTTATCTGCCACCATCAGTTTAATTGCCATAAAATATTTCTTTGCACATATTACTGCTCTGTTTTAGGACATCACCACCAATGGAATATAGCGGTGATCTCAGAATATCATTTGAGATCCTCTACAGTCAGGCTCCAGTCTAATTTTCAAAATTATGCCTACTTACCACCTGTCATTCATTCATATTTGTCATCCAACTTGGATTTTTACCCATCCTTTAAAGCCAATTGAAGACCTGCTCTTCCATGAAGCCTGCTCATTTAGACCAGCCCTGGACAGAGTGACTGCTACCTTCTTTCACTCGTTAGCACTTTCCGTATGCTGCCTTTGATATACCTCAACTAGGCTGCAATTTTTTTAGAGCAAAGAGTAGATTATTATTATTATTATCAATTATAAACCTCTTCTCTCCACTGACTTCCTTGATGCTTCCTACCTTGTGAGTTTTCCGTAAAAATTAGTGAATTAACTGAAAGACATAACCATATCAGAATTTATTCATTTATTAAATTATTCAACAAATATTTTTTAATTACTGCCATATGCCAAGCATTATGCTAAGACCTGGAATACAAGAATATGATCCTTGCCCTACAGAACCTACAGTCACAGGATCTAACTGAAATTCTGTGTCCAATAGTTTTCCTTCATTTCTATTTTATTTTAAGAGTATATAAAACTTGAAAGAATGTTTGATCTTTTATTTATTAACCTATCTCTATGTGTAACATTACCAGAAAATGATTAATGCAAAAACTTATCATATTTTTAAAACTTAAGTACTCAGTTTACTCAGCTCTATAGTTGGATTTTGCCTTTGATTCTTTACTTGAAGCTAGGGAAAAAAAATTATATTAAAAAAAGGCTTTACAAGAAATTATTTATCTTTGTTTTCTGTAAGCCTGGTGTTCTTTTGGAGAATGACAAAGTTTGTTGTTTACAGGCTTCTCATTGGGGACATCATGTACTTCCTAGATCTGGTCAGAAACTTTTACTCAAAAGCTGGCTGAGAATATACCATCATATCAGGGATTACTTTGACCTTTTCTGTATTCCATGTTTTGATTAGCAAGCTATTCTGCTCATATCCCATTTAGAGACAAATTGTGAAAGGCTTGAATGGCAAGCCAGAAATATATGAAATAATGAAAAGGTCAGTGTGATTTAAGTCCATAACCACAGTATTGAAAATATATGACAAGTCATTATCACACTTAATTCCCACAACAAGGACTGTGGTAAAGATGGGAAATTATTTCAATTAAAATATTCTTGTTTCACACTGAAGGCTGAGGTGGCAAAGCTCAAATGGTCTCTTGACTCCTCTTTTTGTGATAACTTAATAAGATAGAAATTGCAACTGAATTAAATAAAACCAAAAAAAAGAAAAAGAGGTAACAAGCTCTTTTGATTTCAGAGTCCATGGTAGAGGGAATAATATAGTGACTTCTAAAAACTCTAATTATACATGAACAAGACAGATACAGCCACAAAACCAATTCAATGGACACCCCATGCTCTCTTTTTATCTACAGCATAGCTGTCAGTCAGATGGGAACTCCATTTATTTCCATGGAAATGAAGGCAGCGAGTTCAATTTTGCCACCACCCGGGATGTAGATCTTTCTACAGAGGATATTCAAGAGCAGTGGTCAGAAGAATTTGAGAGCCAGCCTACAGGGTAAGTAATTGTTATCTCCCATGCTGTGTATAGCACTTACATTTATTCCACTGGACATATTTTAAATGCATATTGTTAAATAGCAAAAGCATACTTAAGTCAATACTGGAGAGTCTTATCATGGACAAGCCAAAGGGGTACACTTATCTTAAACATTCTTTATTAAGCAATCAATTATTTTATGCATGCTAAAAAGTTGTGATTGCAAATATCTTTTAACTTCAGTTGACTATTTATATCTCATCTTTGTTTATGCAGCTATTACCAGGAAAAGTTTTTTTTTTCGATGTGTATAGCATATAAAAATCTTTCCACTACTTTTATATTGAGACTTTCAGTTGTCTCCCTGGGATCTGAGATTTACGGATGCTGTTACCAATTTTTAGTGGAATATGGTTTTGATCTATAACAATTAGTTCTATAGGTCTATAACAATTTGTTGTTTGGGGGGTAAAATTTACCATTTAGAGATTTTTAAAGGAAGGATATGACCCTGAAGTTGAAACAATGAGGATGGTTTGGTGGCAGTATTTTCTTGCTTTTCTAAACTGTGTGCCTTCTTCTGGGTCCAGTGTCCCTAAGATATTTCTATTAATTGAATGACACTTTCAGAAGTTCAAATTGAGAAAAATTAACAGGTTCAGAGAGTCAGAATCATAAGATAGTGTATGTTGGAATTGTAGAAATTTTCTGGTTCTCACCTGGCCTTTTTTTTTCTTTTTTTCAATACATCTACACTTGTAATCAGAACACCAGGTTCTTACTGTTTAGTACATGTTTTCTGAAACCATGATGAAGGCAAATGAAGTTAACATAAAATATAGTTTCATAATGATTATGAAATAGCAATCACTTAACTGTTAACTATCATAAACTTTTCAAGAATACAACATTTGAGGTATTTACATATCTCTGATCTCAACAAATTCAATCAAAACTGGATGGGACCTAAGTGCCTGAGGGACCAGAGCGCCACCATGGACTTGTTGGGTTCCCCACTTCCTATGCATTGCCCAGAAACTGCACTTGAACCCGATAAGAGGGAACTCTGACCAGCAGCCTAAGCTGCTGCCACATCAGGATCTCACTGTTGCAAGCGAGATTTCTACTAGTACCTGCAGCCCTGCTCTTCCTACCTCAGGGAAATCTAGCCTGTGAGAAGCCTCTGAAGAAAACTGATGCCTTGAGGGACCCCACCCCCGCCCCAGGGGATACATTGACCTCTCCAATCCTAGTAGTAATGCTCAGGCCCTCAAGTCCACAAAGTCCTTCTCCTCTGAGGTTCTTATCACCCTTGAAGTTCCCTGTCTAGTATGGCTCTGGTGTCTGTTTGAGGGACCAGCGACCATTGTTTCTCTTTCTTGTGTCCAGGATCTCCCCAGGAGGCTGGCTGCTTTCCTTACACAAACAGGGCTCATTCTACTCCCCTCATAGACTATTGATGGGATCTAGAATTTTGACCATGCACCCAAGTCTTCTTTACCCACTTTCTGGAGATAAAAGACCCATCACCAGCACATCAGCTCTTTCTGACTTCTGATATAAAAGACCAGTTCAGATCCCTTTCCTGACAATGGAGCTTGACTGTCTATGAGAGGGTCCCAAATTTTCAAGCACCAAAGACTCATTGACCTCCACTCCTTCACCTCTCCAGGTTTGTACTATCCATGCAGCAGTGACAGGTTATTCTTTTTCAGTGAGACCTATATCCCCTGGGAACTCAGGTGATGCCCCAGTAGTATCCAGATACCCAGCCTCCTTCCTACTAAAGCAGAGAGAAACACAAGTCTCCAGTGGTAACATTCTGACATGCAAACCCTTTCCTACCAGTTTATCTAGTTAACTGGCTAGCTAGTTAGCTATGTATCTCTTTCCTCAAAGTTCTAATGTCCTCTTATTCTTTGGAGAAGAGATAAAATTTATTTTTATGTATGGCCTTCGTATCCACATATTTCCTCTCCCAGAATGTCCTCTTCTTTGTTTTAGCTTGTTTTATTGTCAAAAGTCATCTATGGAAGAACAAAAGAATGCTTTACTATATCGACTAATGGTCCACACAGCTCTCCACTACTAACATTAGTGGAGACTTAGTTCAAACACACAGAAAAACCCTTTAGGAATTAAGCTTGGAAAGGAACTGATTTCATATTAAAAGAAACCAAACATACTTTAGAAAATTAGTGTACTAATCCAGAAAAATAACTGGCAAAAAATATATTCCAGTTAACAGATCAGACATTCTATTATCTCAGAGCACCAATGATATGAGAACTTGTGGTTAAACCAAAACTTTCATCTCCCAAAACAAACCAAGAGAAATAAAAGTATTTATGCTTGAAAAAAGAGCTAAAGTCAACACAGACACAGGAATATCAGACCAAATTCCATTCACTTAGTGACTCACGTGGTTTCTTTGGCCGATTCTCAGTGCTAAGATATATCAGGTTTTGGTCACAGTTAAGAGGCTGGTACTTTCAAGCCGTGACGTTGTCAGCAGATTTCTGTTCCAATAACATAGAATAATGTGCTTGACAAAAGCACCTGTGTCACTGTAATTGGAACACAATTCACCTAAATTCTGAAAGCAGCTTAATTATTCTAGCAACCACACCTTAGCTTTGTTGTAGCTTTTCCCCAAGGATGTCAGACCACACTGCTCCCTCTCAGAACTACTTCATTTATACTCTTATCTGGTGAATCAGTTATCCATGTTGGCCTTATATTATAAAAAAAGATATAAAAAGATAATGAGATAATCTAGTACTTTCTTTGTTTTGGGATGGTGATGGATTGCTGGTTTAATCTGTAATGTTGTATGTGAATGTGTATATGTGTGTATACCTTTTCCACACCTACTCACTCCCAAATGCTGCTTTATTGATCTAGGAGAGAATGCTATTGTAGTAATTCTTAATCAAAACTCCAGTGAAGATATCCTGTCACAATCAAATTAATGTGAAGCATTTTTATCTAGGGTAAGAACTGACAAAGAAAAACAGATTAGGATCTTGGTAGTGAAATTCTTGATGTGTTTTTTTGAGCCAGATTTACTGAATATTTGTCTCATTCTTCCCCTCAACCATCACCACCCACACAGACAATTTATCATCATAAGCTCACTGCTGAAATAGACATAAAATGTTGGTGTTAAATTCCCACAGTATTCAAGAGTGACCAATTGAATTGATTGAATTCTGACACTTTGAGGTCACTTTCTTTTAACACAAAAAAAATAAATTATTAATATGGATATAATATTTTCATCTTTTAACTGTTTTTTCTCCCATAAGAATTATGAAAGAGAAAAAAGAATATGCAATCCTCTCTAATAATATCTTCAAAACATTTCATATGAATTCAGGCAAGAAAAAGTATCCACAGTCATTATGACTTTTTTTGGAACCCAGTTTCCAAATATTCCTGTTTCCTTACCATTTTAATGAAACTATTTGATCTCAGATCACAAAGACCCAAAAATTGTTTGCCTTTCACATCACAAAGCTGTATGTAGATAGGTTTATTTTAAGTGGGATTTTAAAGTTTATTTTCTTTTTCCTAGAGAAGGCACATCTGTTACTTCAGCAAGATAGAAACTTTAATAGATAAACTGATAATTTATGTGAGCCTTTGTGAACTTTGGCTTAACCTTATAAACACATCATTTAATTAGCAACTACAGTATCTCACCTAGCCGAAGCTGTCTTCAGGTGGGAGGGGACTTTGTAGAGAAATGCATTACTAGAATATTGAATTTGTATATTTTTCATGCATGTTTTTAACTATTCAGATAACTTTTCAAAGTATCTGTTTCATTGCTTTCACTGAAATATTCATGTTAGAGAACCTCCACGATGTAATGAATGTTAAGCTGTGTTTTGAAGTGTAATTAATTTACAATGTTGTGTTACATTCAGATATATAGCAATGTGATTCAGATATACACACACACACACACACAAAGATATATATACACATAGATATATATATGTGCTATATATATGATATATATGTATATATATATTCTTTTTTCAGATTCTTTTCCATTATAGGATTATTACAAGATATTGAATATAGTTCCCTGTACTATACAGTGGGACCTTACTGTTTATTCTATATATAATAGTTTGTATCTGCTAATCTCCAACTCCTGATTTATCTCTCCCAGCCTTTCTTCTTTGGTAGTCATAGGTTTGTTGTCTATGTCTGTGAGTCTATTTCTGTTTTGTAAATAAGTTCATTTGTATCACTTTTTTATATTATACATGTAAACAATATCATATGATACTTGTCTTTCTCTCTCTGACTTACTTCCCTTAGTATAATAATCTCTAGATCCAGGTCCATCCATATTACTGCATATGGCATTATTTCTTTTTTTTTTAATGGCTGAGTAATTGAATATCAGACTATTGAATCAAGAGAGCATACTCTAGTCTTCCATAACTGCCCCAAATCCTTGGAAATTATAGAAAATGAGCAAATGAATCTGTAACGACACTCTGAAAGAAAAAAAGTGTGCCCTAATTGAGCCAGGAATTAGGAAGTGTTACAAAAAATGAGAAAAATAAAGAAAAGGATCTGATTAAAGGAGAAAACCATAACGTAAAATACATATTGAATGAGGCACTACACAAAGGTATAGGTACTGAACACAGGAATCAGATGGGGCTCTGACGTCCTGCTGTGGAGACTGCCAAGTAGGTGAGTGTCTCGCTGCATCCAGCTCCTGTGTGGGCACTTCTGCCGTCAGGAACAAGCAGGGAATGTGAACACTTGGAGAAGCAGGGCGGCGCCAGGTGACTGCACACCTCAAGGACCCCCATGGCACTCCCCGCCCAAGAACACATCTGCTCTCACTGGTGGGCATTTTTACACCAAAACTAAGGGTGAGTAGCGGATACAAATCTGAGCAAATGATCTGGAATCGTCAAATCTAAGGAAAATCCGCTCCATAAAAATAATTAATCAAACTAGACAGCTACGAGCTGAGAAAAGAGAAG